CCCCTCTCTCCTCCTTCTCCCCCTTTCTCTCCTCTCTTCCTCCTCCCCTTTCTCTTCCCCTCTCTCCTCCTTCTCTCCCCCTCTCTCTCTCTTCCTCCTCCCCTCTTCTCTCCTCCCCCCTCTCTCTCTCTTCCTCCTCCCCTTTCTCTCCCCCTCTCTCTCTCTTCCTCCTCCCCTTTCTCTCCCCCTCTCTCTCTCTTCCTCCTCCCCTTTCTCTCCCCCTCTCTCTCTCTTCCCCTCCTCCCCTTTCTCTCCCCTTTCTCTCCCCCCCCTTTTCCTCCTCCCCCTTTCTCTCCCCCCCCTCTTCCTCCTCCCCCTTTCTCCCCCTCTCTCTCTCTCTCTTCCTCCTCCCCTTTCTCTCCCCCCCCTTTTCCTCCTCCCCCTTTCTCTCCCCCCCCTCTTCCTCCTCCCCCTTTCTCCCCCTCTCTCTTCCTCCTCCCCTTTCTCTCCCCCTCTCTTCCTCCCCTTTCTCTCCCTCTCTTCCTCCTCCCCTTTCTCTCCCTCTCTCTTCCTCCTCCCCTTCCTCCCCCTCTCTCTTCCTCCTCGCCAGCTGTCAGGCGCCAAACAGCTGGGTGGACAGTGCGTCAGATTCGTAGTCCTGAGGTTCCGGGTTCAATCCTGGTGGAGGCGGAGACAAATGGAAAAAAATGTTTCTTATGCCCTGATGCCCCTGTTACCTAGCAGTAAATAGGTACCTGGGAGTTAGACAGCTGCTACGGGCTGCTTCCTGGGGGGTGGAGGCCTGGTCGAGGACCGGGCCGCGGGGACGCTAAGCCCCGAAATCATCTCAAGATCACCTCCTCTCTCTTTTTCCTCCCCTTTCTCCCCCTCTCTCTTCCTCCTCCCCTTTCTCCCCCTCTCTCTTCTTCCTCCCATTTCTCCCCCTCTCTCTTCCTCCTGTCCCCTTCTCTCTTACTCCTCTCCCCTTCTCTCTACCTCTTCTCCCTTCTCTCTTCCTCTTCTCCCTTCTCTCTTCCTCTTCTCCCTTCTCCCCCCTCTCACTTCCTCTGTACCCACTGTCTTCCTTCCTCGCTTATCCCTTCTCCATCCTCATTTACATGTCCTTGTCCACCAACGGATAGTGGTACCATGGAATTGTTTTCCCCCTCCTCTGGACAGCGAGGGCATAGGTTTTACATCCGTTTTGAATTAGAGGCCGGTTAAGTCTCCCTTCTGTAGGCCAGAGTCAGTAGTATCCAGTTTTGTTAGAAAACTCTTCCTTTTGGAGTTTTAAAGTTTGTTCATTGGACAAGGGCCATGCATAACTTGTCATTGGCTGAGGTTGTGAGAATTTAGGCCTGATTCAAATTGATTGGATGTAGGCCTAGAAAAGGGCAGAGCTTCTAGGGCAAGGGGCCTTCTAGGGTAAGAGACTTTCAACTTCACCTTGAAGGATGCAGGGCCAAAGATCTTTAGTGGAAACTGGGAATGCTAGAGGGGGTGGGGTTATTGGCCACCAGGCCACAACATTGCCTGTGAAAGGCAGTGAACAAGGTAAAGCGAACAAGGTTGTATTAAATGCTTCTGAAGGAATAGGATGTTACTAGCTTAGGGTTAATTAATTTGCATTAATAAATTAAGTTTCTATTAATTGTCCGTATTTTATATATTTTTTCTCTTAATTCCGAGTCGTGGATCTTGAATTGTTTTGGACCTTACCTGTGATCTTGGGGGCATTTTTTTTTTACATATTTATTATATTTATATATTGAGTAAATATATTCACCTTGTAATTCATGAAGTAAATGTAAAAGGAGTTATATTCATCCAGTAAGTATTAAAAGGTTAAATTACCTAAGCACTTGGTGTTAGTTGACTAGACTCTTCTAGAGTCAATTAACATAATTATTAAAGTTCAAGGAGGAGTGGCAGCAGCATTTATTTGTTTTACAAGTAACCTTACCTTCCATCCAGACTGTAAAGGATTGTAGAGATATCTTTAACATCTTTGTCATTTCTCCCCCTTTCCCCCAATAACTGGTTTGAACATTTTCTGCTGTGAGGGGTGAACCCTTCTAGTTCTCTAGGGTTATATCAGTGCAAGTCATTACAGCCGTAGGGATACAAGTTAATAGCAACCATTACAGTGAGTGTTACCATAGTTGTACAATAACAGCAGTACATGATTGTCATAAACGTTACAATGGTAGCAGCGAGTTGTTCACCAATTGTTACGTCATGTTCATAAAGAATTTTCGAGTTCACTGAAAATGGAATTGTACTGTAGCCTTAGTATTTCTCTAATTTCTTTGTTGTCGTCTCTGAAGGTTCCATCACCCTTGTGCAAGAACCCAATGCAGGATGTAGCTTTTGTTTTAGATTTTGCTTTGGAGAAAACGTATTTTGATCTACTGTATCTTTTGCTTATCACCTTTTCCTCTCTCTACCTCTAGGGTTTTATATCATCTTTGCAACTTCAGCTCTACGTTACTTTCTTTGTCGTTCTTGGGATAGAGTGGAGCGTTTGACATGTTCTGCATTATTTTTTATTTTGTTTTTAGCCTATAGAGGTAAGACCATTATTGTTCCAGTTTGCACCTTTTTCCATTTCTCATTAGTCGTACGTGACTTACACATATTTCTAGTACAGTAATACATACCGTGCATATTTTCTCAAGGCACTGGTTTGTTTGCATCATCTGGCTGTCTTTTCCCGGCATATTTCTGTGAAATCTTGCTTTATTTGTTCCCAGTTAATCTGTTTATTAAAATTGAATTTGCTGAATTCTCCTTCTCTTGGATTTGAGACTGGTTGCACAGGTCTATTGCCCATGCATATCTATCTTAACCCTTAACCCTTTAACTGTGCCGCCTCCAAATATGATACCTCCCCCCCCCCCAGTGCGCAGGAAATAAATTCTCTTGAAAAATTCTTTTGGCTTTTTAAAGTGTCAAAAACTCTTCCCTCAGTATGGGTATGTTAAAAAAAATTCGAAATTGTACTTACTTTGGCTGCTATGGAGACCGTAAGTTGGCGCGTGACGTCATCATTCCCCGTTCGCCCGTGACGTACGCTCCCGGGGCCAGTAGGGCGCCCGGGGCGGGGCGTGCGAGTTGCCGCGAATATATTTTTGTTCATTTTTTGCGCACAGTTCCAAATACATTTCATTTGTTTTTACGTGCTAAGCCTGTGTATAATGAACACGTACACTATATTATGGCAGTAAAACATCCATACTGTCCGAGGACACTGTGTTACGTGCATGACACTTGTGTACACATATGTTGCACATATGTACTATGTATCATGCTAATTTATGTATATATATACAATCTATTTACAGACTATATACTGTCACACATTATATACATTCACCATCAACACATTCAGAACACCGCGAGTGTGAGCTACCACACCCAGCCAGCCCTCCCTCACTCCTCCAACATTGTATTCGCCAACATTGCTCCTCCTATCATACAGTTATTCACACCAATGTTTCATGTTCATTTATGTATATTTACAACATATGTACACACTATATACATTCACCATCAGCACATTCAGAACACCGCGAGTGTGAGCACACCCAGCCAGCCCTCCCTCACTCCAACATCTTACGCGTCAACATTCCTCCTCCCACCATACTGTTATTGTTTTTATTACACTATTTACACATGCTATATATACCTATCTACATGTTTTATTTACCAGAACTATGCAAGTAAGCCGGTATTGTGTCCAAACAGTACAGTGGCCACCATACACTACATGAGAAATCACACAGCAGACAGCAGACGACACTATGATTACGACATCACCTCCCTCACCAAAATAGCTCCTCTCAACATACTCCTGATGCTATTATTACACTATATACACACACACTGTATATACCCATGTACATAGGTGTTCCCCGTAGCAAATCACGAAGCTAGTATGGTGAGCAAAACAAGAGTGGCTGCCACACATAGTGAGGCTTCCTCAATTCTCTTCCTTCCTCCCTCCCTCACCAAAATTCCTCCTTCCACAATACTACACAGAATGCTAATTATAACCACAATCCTGGTGACTAATTCCTGTAAATGAATAATTAACCACAAGTTTATTTTGAAAAGGAACCTAAAAATTCGTTTGAAGATGCCTAGATGGACGAAATAATGCTGTGGTTAGTGCTGTGAACATCGTGAACAGCATTGAATCACTAATATTTGAACATTTGTAGCCAGTCATTATCACACTCAGGCTCTTCTATAATACTATCATGCCTAAATAATACAGATTATATATATATATTTTGACATTATTAGGCGATGCTGTGGTCACACGCTGAACAGCAGTGCTGTGTGCTCATGCTGCGAGCGCCAGCCTTGGTTGCTCACTCACTACTGAGGCTCTCACCCAGGAATGTGGACCACGATTTTTTTTAAAGATCGCGTCTGTTTACAAGAGCCCTGAGGAAGCTGATGTGAACCCCATGTAGCCGCGGGAGTTTTGAATGGAACGTGAAAAATACAAATACCCAGAGGCACGTAGCGCACCCCAGACGTGGGCCTGCAGGCGCGTTGCGCAGTTAAAGGGTTAAACAGCTCAGCTAATTAAAAGTCCTATATCATGCTACACACGACAAAAAATACTTTCACAAAATTTGTTAAAAAAATTATTTGGTATAAAAAAATTATTTGGTAGTTTGAGCATGAAAGGTAATTACAGGTAGTGATTGGAGCCAAATACAGGTCAATAGGAAATACCTCATATGGGTCAGTAGGTCTTTGGCAGTTACCTTTATTCTTATGGTTTTATGCTGTGCTATATACTGTAGTTGCATGCAAGGCTCATAATGAAGCATTTTATACAAATTACATTAAACATGAAATAAAAAGACAGTTGATTTTGTTGTATTAAATGTATTTGAATGCTCTTGTTTGGTCACGTTTGTTACCTTTTAAATCTCGGTGTATGAGAGCACGTTTTGCTGTGATGTGAGAATTGCTGGACATTTGTTATTGCATACTATATTTGAAAGGTAATGAAATTATAAATACAGTACTACATTCTTCAGGCAAAAGATCGTGAGGACAGCATGGAGGAGGGCTACCTGGCACTGCGATGGAACAACCACAACACAATTTTTACAAAGATCCTCACCCTCCTCAGGGAACAGGTCTGTATGTTGGCTAAAAATTGTATATAGACATTTTATATATTTTAAAATATTTTTTAAAAGTAGGAAATGATTTACATTTGATGATTTACAAAGGTAGGAAATTATTTACAAAAGTAGGAAATGATTTACGTTTGATGATTTACAAAGGTAGGAAATTATTTACATAAGTAGGAAATTGATTTACAAATACATGTACTGTACTGAAAAATAATTAGTTGGCTGGATATTTTGTTGGTACACTTACTGTTTACAAGTACAGTACTGTACAGTATTGTTTACATTAAATGCAACTCTGCATGTAGACGATGAGTCACTATAACGTTATCTTGAGGTTATCTTGATATGATTTCGGGGCTTTAGTGTCCCCGCGGCCCGGTCCTCGACCAGGCCTCCACCCCCAGGAAGCAGCCCGTGACAGCTGACTAACACCCAGGTACCTATTTTACTGCTAGGTAACAGGGGCATAGGGTGAAAGAAACTGCCCATTGTTTCTCGCCGGCACCCGGGATCGAACCCGGGACCACAGGATCACAAGTCCAGTCACATTGGCTGAAGAAACGTGGTCACAACGTGGCTGAAGAAATGATGACCAAACAACAACTTAGATGATGGAGAAGCGATGACGTTTCAGTCTGTCCTGGACCATTATCAAGATGATGGAGAAGAGACGAAACATCGTCGCTTCTCCATCCTCCGAGTGTGGTGTGGTCATCGCAAGGCTGTAACCATCTATTTTTAACGAGTAATTTTGGCTGTGGTAGATAATACGTGTTCACTATGTATAATTAGTATTGCTCCACTTAGTTATAGTAACTGATAGTTTAGAAGTGTTTTTAAATTCAGTACAGTTTATAATATGTATATACTGTAGATTACAAATAAATGATTATGTAGCCTTAACTGGCTGGTCGTCTTTGTGCAACATATTTCATTTACTGATGTACTATAGTATTTATGTACAGAAATGCAGGTTTCTTTCATGAGTTCAATGGAAAATACATGCTCCTTGAATTTCTTAGGGTTACATAAAAAAAGCTGCATCGTGTATTCCCAGGGATACACAAATTGGTACAGGTGTACCAATTCTGTGATCTGTGCACTTGGGTAATTTCACCTGTGACAGATTGTTTGCAGTAATTATCTGATAAGTGGTTACCTACAAAAAAAAAGAAAATGAAATTTTCCGTGAATATCATTAAGAATTCCTTTGTGAGATGGAATCTCACAAAGGAATCTATTATCAGTTTCTAACTAAGCCAGAACCCACATTTCACCCAGGATGTGTTGGATAAACCAGGCTCTGCCAACTTTTTAACCCTGCATTCACCTCACATGCATATGTAAAGCAGTTTATTTTTTTAGCCCTGTGCATGTGTAATTACCTAAGTGTAACTACCTAAGTGTAGTTACAGGACGAGAGTTATGCTCATGGTGTCCCGTGTTCACAACACTCTTTGTCATATAATGCTTTGAAATTATTGGCGGTCTTGGCCTCCACCACCTTCTCACCTAACTTGTTCCAACTGTCTTCCACTCTGTTTATAAAAGTGAATTTTCTTATATTTCTCTGGCAGCCTTGTTTCGTTAATTTAAATCTATGACCTCTTGTTCTCGAAGTTCCAGGTCTCGGGAATTCTTCCCTATCAATTTTATTGATTCCTGTTATTATTTTGTATGTAGTGATTATTAAGCCTCTTTTTCTTGTCTTTTAGTTTTGGCATATTTAATGCCTCTAACCTCTCCTCGTAGCTCTTGTCCTTCAGTTCTGGGAGCCACTTGGTGACATGTCTTTCCACCTTTTCCAGTGTGTTGATGTGCTGCTTGAGATATGGGCACCATTCAACCACTGTATATTCCCGCTTTGGTCTAACAAAAGTCGTGAACAATTTATTTAGTATTTCTCTATTCACACTATTGACAATTATGTTGAATGTTAAACTCTGCTGCTGCTCGTGCATGAGAATATCCTTTATCAAGTTTCTTAATTAACTCCAGCTTCTGTGCAACCGTCAGGCGCTTCCTTTGGGTAACTTTTGGCATTTTGTAAATTAAAAAGATCACAATTACAGTACAGTAATATCCTTCACAATTGAAGCTAGACGCGCAAGTTCACGGTAAACAATGGGAACACATGGCCCGGCGGAGTACATACTAGGTCCGTGGGAAAAAAAATACCTAGTGCCTATACATACTATAAAAGGTATTTAATAAGAAAACAAAGACTTTTGCTTAATAAAAACTGTTTCAAAATATTTTATTAATAATAATTTACAATTTTCTTCATTAAAGTGAATCATTTTAAAAGAAAATTAAGATGTAATATATGACTCTGGACGATCCAGGTCGGTGGCGGCCTGGTCGCCATGTAAGGGGACACTGATGCCACAACAAACCCAATACCGACTGTCGGTGTATTTAAAAGCAATTCTGAAGTTAGAAAGTGTAGCATAGGCTCCTCACATAATGTCCTCAGGTGAGTTTTTTTTTTTTTTTATCTAGAACCACCCCTAGATCTCTTTCTTGATCAAAATTCTTTAAAGATTTCTCACATAATTTATAGGTTGTGTGGTCTGTGTTCTCCTATTCCTCATTCCATAACATGGCATTTATCACATTAAATTCCATTTGCCAAGTGGTGCTTCATAGACTTATCTTGTCCAGGTCTTCTTGAAGGACATGACAATCATCTAAGTTTCTTATCTTCCCTATTTCTTAGCATCATCAGCAAACGTGTTCATATAATTCTGTATTCCATCTGGCAGATCATATATGCAGACATTAACGGTGCAAGAACTGAATCCTGTGGTATTCCACTTGTGACATTTCTCCAGTCCGATACATTGCCTCTGATTACTGCCCTCATTTTTCTATCAGTTAGAAAATTTTTCATCCATGTTATAAGCCTATCTGTCACCTCTCCAATATGTTCCAGTTTCCAGAACAACCTCTTATAACCCCATATAGCCACAGGAGTTTTGAATCATCCACTAAAAATGTAAGACCCCGGAGGCACGTTTTGCACCCTCCGTCGAGCGCATACAGGCGCGTTGTGCAGTTCAGGTGATTTTAAGTGAGAACAGAAAAAATGTATAAAATACCTGCTTTTGTGGTTATGAAACATGTATAGAGACACTGGGTGTAGGGGTCACTTGAGTCACATCAACACCAGAAATGCAATTTGCTGTCTCGTGGTTTAGAGGTGAGGATTTGAATGGTTAAGTTGGATGGTTTTTATGTTCGTAGCTTTGATAATTAGTGTTCATAATTGTATTTTTGTGTTGAATAGCTCAATATAGTACACTTTATTAACAAAAACACTGAGTACTGTACTATACTGTATATACAAGTCTATATGTATGTCTAATATATAAATCTGTCGTCCCCATAAACGGGAACCATATCATGCTAGTAACACCTCGAGTAAATATTGATGGAATGGAAATGAATTCCCGGCTTCTCGGGTTGACTTAGACATGACCTATAATTTCACAGAGTTCATTTTGAATTTTGTGCTGTTGCTCAAGGCACTTTCCTGTTGTTGATAACTATTGTGAATAATTTGCTCTATTGGTATTATTAAATACAGGTGGTCCAAGGAAAATAATTGCAGACAAAAAGGGGAGATTGAGTAAGTTATTTGTGATCTTTTGGCGTTTCGTGATCTGCTTGATACCTGCTTGATGGGGTTCTGGGAGTTCTTCTACTCCCCAAGCCCGGCCCGAGGCCAGGCTCGACTCGTGAGAGAAGACCTGGAAGAGAGAGGAGACCTGGGATCAGTAGCTGTGGTGGTGAATTGAGAATACTATCCACCGTCATTCCTCTCCAGTCACATAGCAAGACTGTTGACAGTTCCCTTGTCATGGGGTGAATGAAGGTTGACTGAGGCCTAGTGTCTTTACAGTGAGCTGGGGGGGGGGGGAGGTTGGGGCCTTGTTGTTTGGTCTCCCCCCAAGAGCGGAACACAACAGCGGATTCTTAGAAAAAAGTGTATTTTACTCAACATATTTTTATCTATAACCTGAACTTTCTCACTATGTGAGAACCTACTGTACTTTGGGGTTTTATTTGAAGAAGTAGCATTTGTTTAATTTGTCTGGAATGTGTCCCCATATGTTGTATATGACCTTGACTTTGGTGTGTCAATTTAGACATGCATTCTATTTTCCAGGAATGTTGACTGTATATACATTGTATTTGCCTGTATTGTATATGATTGTTTATTTTAGGCTGTCTTAACTAGTATTGTCTTGCTTCAGGAGGCTTATGTTGATGTGTCGTTGGCATGCGCTGGAAGGTTATATCCGGCGCACAAGTTTGTCCTCTCAACATGCAGTGATTACTTCAAGGAAATGTTTGCTAAAAATCCTTGCAAGCATCCAATAGTCTTCATGAAAGATGTGTCTACAAAGGATATGGAAGCTCTCTTGGATTTCATGTATAAAGTTAGTACAGTCAAAAATTTGTTTTACAATTACAAAAAATTGGTCTTCATCATTCAGACTTACAACTTTCAGTACTTATGTATGATCATCAAACTAAGCTTTGTACAGTATTGATATTAGGTGGTGTTGGCCTCGGGAAATATATTTTAGAAAAACGGAAATGGACATGGAATTCTCCCAAGAGTATTTCTCCTTGTAACATCCTCATCTATTAGACTAATATTCTATTAATGTATTTAAACATTTTACAATAATGTGTATTGCAAACTGATCCCCCTCCACCACCACCACCACCACCACCACCATCACCATCACCATCACCACCACCACCACCACCACCACCACCACCACCACCACCACCACCACCACCACCACTACCACTACCACCACTACCACTACCACTACCACTATGCACCGAGTGCTGCAACAGCCCCACATATTCATCAGTCCCTTTCATCCCCAGACTATCTCATCACACCCAAAACAACACACTCAACCTTTTGCTTTGCTCTAACTTCCAACTAAATCCATACCTGCCCACTACTGATGCCACTACCTTTGTGCATACCCACAATATCATCCTGCCACTACTCTCCAAGCTCAACCACACCAACCTCTGTCCTCAGATCCTGCCACACTTGAACACCACCCACCTACTAGCACAACCCATCCACACACACAAAATGCCTGTGTTATCACCGCCTCCCAACACCTTATTTGAACTCCATATGTGAACACCCACACCTTGCATTTTCCACTCACCAACCTCATATTTTCCACACCTCCTCACTTGCCCCCAACACCTATACATGGCTCTCCAACACCCTCTGTCACACCCTTGCATGCTCTTGCTTACTCACATTCCAGCTCTCACAACCCACTTTTGCAAATACCATCGCTCACTCAATATATTATCCACAATACATCCACCCACCCATATAAACCGTCTCTGCACCTCTTTGTTCATACTCACCCACCCCTCCATCACCATAACCAAAAATAATATATACAGTATTAAAGTTTATTTATATTTAAAAATATATATGTGTGTAAAACATTTCCCTTTCTGAGGAACACCCCTTCAGTTCCTTCCTCAGGCAAGGTCTTGCTTCCCTCAGAGACAGGCCTATGCAGTCAGAGCAGGTCAACATTCTTCATTGGCATAGTGGAGCTTTATTTTGTTTTGCTTGTGGCATAGACAGGTAAAGGTTAGCATGTACCTAGTGCACTTGTATTGTCACATGGACTTTTTCTTCATATTATGGTCTGTGGTAAAGGTCCTGGGACCTACTGTTGTCTTCTATAATTTCTCTGTTGTTTACAATTGATTCAAGGCATGGCAATACTGCATAATGTAGCCTGATAGCTTACTGTTTATTGTTTATTTCTTGGTTCTTGGCATATGTTTCTTGGTAGTACCCTAGAAACACAATACTACTTGGTAGTATTCACTAGAGGCACAAGAAGTGAAAGGAGGATAGAGAGAGCTTATCTAAACAAATCCTAAAAGAATTATGAAACCCTGAAGTGAGAAGAAGACGGAACGTGTAGCACAATGTCATGATCGGCATACAGATTCCAGTGAAGCCGTAGAAAGATTGAGGTAGCAAAATGCTCGGTCAAGTTTCAGAAACGGCCAAGACAAGATGTCATGACCAGATAACGTAAGAGGCATCATCAGAGTTGTCCTATAAGATTCAGAGATGTTAGGCATAAAAGTACAGTGTAAAAAGCCATGTCATGGTTAACCAGATTCACAGACAAGTGATGGAAAATGCCCGAGCCAGAATCATCTGGAACAATTAGTCATACCTATGACTAGATGCAGCCTGAAGATGGTAGAGACTGATCTCTACTGATGGCAGTAAACCTGGGCTAGATACTTCACACACAAGTCTCTGGCTGCCAGTCTCTCACAACCGCACACAGGGAATTGACAGCAAGCAAACAGGGGCTAACACAAGTACATAGTCCACAATGCTGAATGAAACAATGTGTGCGCAAAAGGAAGTTATCCAAAAACCTGAGCCACATTAAGAGGCTGCTTGTGATTACTCCTATTTTCTGCCTTGCATTCAGTTCCACTCACTGGTTGCAATACAGTGTTATGCTAGGTTACCTTTTTCTCTTGGCTGGCAGGCAATACCATATTTTATGTGTGGAAGTGGCAGTTATACTGCAGGGGCCCAGTGTTTGATTAGAAGTAAGTTTCTCACATCTTCAGTGTGGCATTGGCAGTAGTTAATCTCAATTTCATCGACAGGGAGCTAAGTTCCTCTTGTTTAGTCCTGGGAGGTGGTTTGCTGGTGGCTTTATGTTCACATTCTCAGAAAGTTGTAAGGTTACTTGCCTGGCTCTTCTTTGCTTTGCTTCAGTTTGAAAGCATTTGGCTTGACGGGTAGAATGCATATCCTGTCTTTGTCATTGTAAGCAGCTTCTGCAGCTGTGCCCAGGATGTTTGTACCAATTTGTCATGTTTGGTTGGTGACGTCATTGCTGCCCGTCTCGCCTACACGTGTTTATTGTTGTCAGTTCCAGTCAGTGCCAAACAACTTTACTTGGTTACTTTCTTAGGTCATCTTTCTCTGCCCTATTCTTACCCCTAGGTGGTGGTGCAGCTGGTGTTAGAGAATGTACAATTATCATTTCATTGATGGTAATGGCCTCGTAGCCTGGTGGATAGCGCGCAGGACTCGTAATTCTGTGGCGCGGGTTCGATTCCCGCACGAGGCAGAAACAAATGGGCAAAGTTTCTTTCACCCTGAATGCCCCTGTTACCTAGCAGTAAATAGGTACCTGGGAGTTAGTCAGCTGTCACGGGCTGCTTCCTGAGGGTGGAGGCCTGGTCGAAGACCGGGCCCCGGGGACACTAAAGCCCCGAAATCATCTCAAGATAACACACATTCTGGAAGAAACCTGCTTTTCACACCTGTGGGAGCATGTATTAAGATGTTAAAACAGGTTGACAGGTTGGAAGGCTTCACTAAATTAATAATTGCAAAGATTGTATTTGCCAACCTTTGTGCTTTGTGTAACAAATATATTGTTTTATTTCAGGGAGAAGTACATGTACCTCAGAGTGAATTGGGCTCTTTGCTACGTACAGCAGAAGGTCTTCAGGTGAAGGGCTTGGCAGTACCTGATGACTCACCCCGCGGCTCCTCTTCCACCCCTATTGTGCCTTCTGTTCCATCCGTCCCACGCTCACATCCGCCCACACTTTTGGCACCTTTACATCTGCGTGGAAAGCGCAAAAGGCCACCGGGTAAGTTGAAATACTGTACATGTGAAGTTAACAAAAGATATTATTATTTTTTTTAAACCTAAAAGGGGGTACCACCTCTGGTGCAATTGTAGGGACCCATAGCCTCGGAGAAGAAAATAAGAATACTTGGAGAAGACCTTGTGGATCCTCACTGAACACTTTGATATTTTCTTCTCCTACCACTCCTATTCTTTTTGTATGTGTGTATATATATCTCACTTTATTAAAAAATTTCATTGCACAAAAAGGGTTACAACATTGGTTACATGTAGGGTACAAGGCTACTTGTTACAGGTTGTAGAGCTCCTCCAGCTCCTCAGATGGTGGGCAGGAACCATGGATGCAGTGAGCATTTCCTCTCTGGATCACCACACGAAAGCACTGAAAGAGAGAACTGGCGGCTCTAGGGTCTCTAGTTGTTTCAATTAGCTTGGACCCCCAGTTCCTTCAAAAAACTAGCAGCACTTTTACCCCAGGCACCAAGTGTGTCTGAGTCAATGGGGACAAAATTGTAGTGGTGATCAAGATCTCTGTATATATGTGACTTGGCTGCTTCCTGGTGATTGGCAGCACTTCCTGCCTGTGCAGCACTAAAGTCAACAGGTGTTGGCTAAAGTTGAAATGCAAGTGTAGTCCCACACCAACTGTCTACCATTCTTCCAGGGGTTCAACGTGATCCCGTCTGGGTGACGGACAGGCTCATCAGAGTTGCGGGACATTAGGTAACGGGGCTGGACAACATGCTGTGATAAGGGTTCTCTTAATAATGTCATTAACCTCGCCATGTCTTGCATACCATCCTCCTGTCCTATGGCAGAGAAAGCCATGCCGTCCGTACCTGTCGGCCTCTGCCTCGCCACAAATACACCTGTGTTCGGTGTGGATTGGGGCAGTGAGGCGGAGAGCCACAGCAATTCGGAGGGCCTGAGGTGTGAGACGAATGCTAGTTGCTGACATTGGGGTTGCCAATAGGAAGTCGCCTGCATGGGGAGCTGCTACAGCTCTTAAGTCGGGCAGTGTCATGTGGTGTTGTCGCAGCTTCCAGGCATGTCGCAGCATTTTGGTCGACAATGGGGCGAGCTCAGCTGGATTGCTTATGGGCTTCAGAAGGTGGTGGTTGGGGTGCTGGTCCTGCAACAGAGACCCATTTGGTGGTGCAGTCTGTAAAACTGAGATCATGTACCCCTGCCTGTTGGCCTAGGTACTCAGGTAGGTTTTCTTTCACCAAGTTGTCAGATGCCACTGAAGAGGATAGGAACGCTGGTACAGCAATTTGTGTTGCTGTGCGACCGCCGAGGCTTCCCGAGTCTGATAGGAAGGGAGGCCTGTTTCCACCGTGAGTCACTGAGGGAAAGGTTGAGGGCTTTTTCTAGCATTGATTTCAGCAGGCTGTCGTGCTCTTCTAATTTAATATTACGTATTGAAAGATGGCGAACATCTAAGAAAGTAGGTCAGCCTGGGGAGGAACAAGTATCTGGTGATGAGGTAAAGTGCATCATAAACATCGATGTTTTCAGTTGTCTCATTCATCCGCTTCAGGTCAGAGATCTTCTTACCAAGGACCTTGTTGATGGCATTCCTTCCAAGAGGAGCTGCTAGAAGTGTACTGTCCTCAGGGTTGGTTATATGAATATCGGGCAAAACAACCTTTATTCACTCCATTATGCGCTGGTTGGTGGAAGTTATTTCGCACTTGGAAGAGTTCAGGGTGAGGCCTAGACTTGCTCCTGAATTATTCTTATGTCATCCAGGAGGGAGTCTGGGGAGCCAGCTAGAGTACCATCATCCAAAAACCAGATGTTGAGCTCACTGGACAGGTTATCAGTGACTTCCTTGATGACTCCTCCTGCAATTTGAATGCTGTTTGGAGGAATTTGTGGTAGTGTGAACAATTTCACAGGATTTGTAAACATGGGCCAATTACACATGCATTACACGCACAATTTGATACTGGTCCAGGGCAGACCAAAATGTCATCGTGAGAGAGAAGCAATGTTTTTACTCTATACATTACCTAGATTGGTCATCCCAAAGACTTATTTGTGCATGGGATTTCATGGTTTAGTGTTTGCTGCACTGCATAGTTCCCAATTTGTTTTTGTGTATCTGATCTTACTATCCACTTTGGCTTTGTTTCAGGGGTTCCACTTCCCTGGAACTAATTGTGAGCGCCAGTGGTCACCATAGCCTGTCATTCTCTGAGGATATTGAATTTCAGGCTTGGTCTTTGAGAAGGTTTCATGTTTTCTCCTAGAGTTGTTTTCTTTAGTTTGCTCTTGTAGTTGTGGCAAGCAGGGCCTCCACTTAAGCCTGAATTTGACTAGCGTCATGCCATAAGGTGCGATGCTATGTATTTTCAACGTGCTAGTGGTTTTTAGCCCTTCAAAACTTTTTAAGATACTGTGTTACTCACATGCAAATAAAATACTATCTTGATATTATTTCTAAATATTTATATTTGGTCAACTAAATTAAGTTCTCATCTCTACTGGATTAAATAATAATCAACTTCTTAATGTATCTTCAGAATCAAACAGGAAAGATGACCCTCCAAAGTTGACGTTGCGACCTGATCTTGGACCTCCAACTCCTAACCGTTCCCGACAACGTAACCGGGCATCAGGCATGCCAGAGCTCAAGAGAATAAAGAAGGAAGATGACAACAAAGCTGTAGGTGTTGGGACAATGGAGCCAGGTGAGGTCCCTAGATCACCAAGTCCAGCAGCCAGCAGTCACAACAGTGATGATCCACCTATAAACAATACAGATAAGATAAAGGTTAGGAGCTTTTTCTAGTGCAATAATGAGTAGGACATTTTTCTTTTAGTGCAGTCTTTAGACAAACACACAGTTCTCCTGCAGACAGGATTAGGCTGTGAGGCCAGGTTGCCATTCCGCACCGGCACAGCTGTGGGATGTTTTCAAATGATCCCGGGTGATTCATGTTGGTGCTATGGAGATATTTCAAACTTCTCGGTTCTCTCTACCTCTTGTCGGTTCTGGAAACCAAGTGTCCCCATTGATGGTCTCTAACCAGGCTTCCTGGTTGGTGGTCTAGTCAACCAAATTGCTAGATGCTGCTGCTTACAATCTGACAAGAATCATAGACCATCTAATCAGGTATCCTTTGGACGTGTTTCAAAAGTTCTCTTTTTGAACGCTTGAGAAGTCAGTTATGCCCCTTATATTTAGAGAGTGTTGAAAAGTCTTGGTCCCTTTAATGTTGATAAAATTCTCTCTTGGTGCACCTATTACGCCTCCTGGTCTCATGGGTTAGTTTTGTTTGCAGATTTGGAAACGGTCATTAATATTTTTCCAAGTTAAACTTATGTATTTCTTGCCTGCTCCCTAGAGAATATGTTCCCAATAATTTAGATGTTTACTGAATGGATTTGGGCAGCAAAAGTTCTCTGCACGCTCTCCAGGTCAGCAACTTATCCAGCTTTGAATGGGGCTGTTAGTGTGCAACAATACTGCCCCACTGTATGAAAGTACCATCATTGGTCTGGCATCTGTCTGTTCGGAGCCGGTTGGCCGAGCGGACAGCAATCTGGACTTGTGATCCTGTGGTCCCGGGTTCGATTGGGCAGAGTTTCTTTCACCCTATGCCCCTGTTACCTAGCAGTAAAATAGGTACCTGGGTGTTAGTCAGCTGTCACGGGCTGCTTCCTGGGGGTGGAAGCCTGGTCGAGGACCGGGCCGCGGGGACACTAAAGCCCCGAAATCATCTCAAGATAACCTCAAGATTTCTTGCAGTTGTGACAGCTGCTTTATTGTGTTCTTGTGAAAATAAGGTCTTCTGATATGATACTCTCCAAATATTTTAGACTGTATTGCATTTTCTTTGTGTTGTGTGATTTAACTGCATTTTATGTGTAGTTTCTGTTTTGATATTTAGTTTTTATCATAGTGCAGGAGTTGCAAGTGAAGCAACATTTCCCTTTGGACCCCCTTCTGGTAGCCTGGAAAAGGTAGGGGGGGGGGGGGGAGCCTCCTTATAGAATATGCTAGTAATGACATGTTTCCCAACTCACCCCTGATAGAAAGGGGCTGACCAGGAATAGGAACCCAATCTATTCTGACCTAACCTGCTCAAAAACCTGACATTCTCCTTGGTTTTCGACTGAAATATATATGGTTACATGAGCTTCTAACATGAGCACACTCCTCCAGTCAGATACATTGCCTCTGATTACTGCCCTCATCTTTCTGTCAGTTAGAGATCATTTTTCATTCATGTCAGAAGTCTCCCTGTCACCCTGCCAGTATGTTCCAGTTACCAAAAACAACCTTTTGTTTGGGATTCTGTCCATAAGCCTTTATTAGTTGCAGATGGACACAGTCAATGCAACCATCTCTTTCCTGTAGAATCTCTGTGGCTCTTATCATGTAAACTATGTACATTTGTTACACAGGTCTGTATGAGCCTGTGAACATATGAAGTGACATTGGCTGTATATTGAGTGTTAATTTATCTCCGAGATTCTTGCCAGGTGTTCCACACAAGTCTCCTACTCCACAATTTTTGCAATGATTTGGTATATATTCGGTAAACGTTTGTAGCTGTTCTCCAGTTTTTGTGTATTCACGTGGGCTTGGTTGCCCCTTTTATTGTAGACAATTTGCATTTCTACCTGTGGCATGTTGAAGAGGGGTTTCTTGGTTTCAGACGGCTTTCTTTAACACCAAGGTTTATCATTTAGAATTGTAGATAGAACTGCATTGATTCAGGTAATTAATGATGAATGATCTTGTTGCTTACAAAACACCACGGCAGTATGTTGAGTACAGTAATTCCATGGACCTTCAGCACATCCTCAAGCCCATACATTAATTGATAAACGCAGGTGGCAAAAAAGAGTTGACCCATCACATTTTAAGTTGACTTGCTGAGGAAGTCTGTATGGCATGAGAAAGTATTCATGAAAGTGAAAGTGAGCAGTGAAAGTAATCATGCCTTACTTTCATGAGTAAAGAAGGTAAGGCATGATAAAGTTTCTCATGCCTTATGCCTGGCTTAGGCCTATACCTGTCGGTGATTTTTTTATAGCTCTTCTATCTGTCGAGCGTTGGGCCAACCTTTCTTGGTGAATGGCTGGGTTTATAAAGCTGTTAACTTGTGAAGCTTACGGTGCCACTTAGCCATCTCAAGTCAGGGTGATCTGGCAACTGCAGCTGAAACTTTTGACATTTTTTCTTCAAAACTGTTTCTTTTCTTTGTGGGTAGTACATATGAACTTAGGAGCTGTTCACTCTTGACCGTATGTGGCCATGTTTACTCTTGGCTATGTGGTCATGTTCACTCTTGGGCCCTATGTGGCCGTGTTCACTCTTGGGCCCTATGTGGCCGTGTTCACTCTTGGGCCCTATGTGGCCGTGTTCACTCTTGGGCCCTATGTGGCCGTGTTCACTCTTGGGCCCTATGTGGCCGTGTTCACTCTTGGGCCCTATGTGGCCGTGTTCACTCTTGGGCCCTATGTGGCCGTGTTCACTCTTGGGCCCTATGTGGCCGTGTTCACTCTTGGGCCCTATGTGGCCGTGCTCACTCTTGGGCCCTATGTGGCCGTGTTCACTCTTGGGCCCTCTGTGGCCGTGCTCACTCTTGGGCCCTCTGTGGCCGTGCTCACTCTTGGGCCCTATGTGGCCGTGCTCACTCTTGGCCCCATGTGGCCAATTCCAGTTTGGCTTGCAATCCTTCATCATCATTGCCTGCATGCAGAGTTATCCTAGGGCGCTCTCTCTCTCTCTCACTGACATCCGGAGACACGATCTTCTAGATGATTCTCCAATCTTTCTTGCTTTTATGTTGAGAACTGTGGTTTTGTTGTGTCGTCTGCTTGTGTTGCATTGCTTTTGCGTAGACTTTTAGTGTTGGACTATAAATTGCTTGCAAGTCAATTTCTTTTTTGCTCTTTTTGCTATGCTCTATACAAGTCCACAGCACTTTTTTTCATAATTTTTTTAAATGTGTGTTTACAATAATAAAAAATTATTAAATGGTAAAGATTGTATGCACTAGGAGAGTCTAAGATTAATCAATCCTTCCTTCCTAGCAGAAATTCTCTTACAATTCGTAATATACTTTTTATCTCGAAATATGCTAACATGCTGTAGAAGATTATAAACACCGCGGTTATATTTATGCATTCAAACCACATTTAGTTTGAATTTTTATTTATATTTTAACATATCCGATGTGATTTTAAGAATGAGCGTCCAGAATACATCAAAGTTGAAGAAGACCCAGAAGAGGATGAAGGTGTGGCTGGAGAAGGTATGTCAGGAGATGAAGAACACGATGAAGAGGAAGAGGAGGAGGAGGAGGAGGAGGAAGAGGAAGATGATGATGAAGCAGGTTTAGGTGAGGGGAAACCTCTGTCTCCGATGAGTCATGATGTACTCTCCGATGTTGATGCCTTTGAACAATCCAACTCCTCGCTCCCCAACTCTGACATATCAACGGTATGTAATGATTTTTATTTTCCGCCCATATCCTAAATATTTGTATATATGTGTTAACTATATGATGTACAGTATATTTTCATAATTTTTTTCTGGGGAGAGCCCCCATTGGCTCCCTGGAGATATCCAGGCTGATATGTAACTATTAGCTTTCTGGCATCAAAGTGCATGGTGTTCTCTCCTACCGCGGACCACAAGCCAGAACCTGGCCTCCTCAGAGAGGCACGAGGAGCAATGGCCTATAGAAACCCCCTGTGTGGTTGGAAGCATTCTGTCTGCCATTGACTGGGTCTGGCACCCAGAAAAGTTGGCGCCCCAAAACAAACCCCTATTCTGGTGAAAATATTGCTATCGAAAGCCAAACTAGTGGATAAAACTCCCCAAATGAAAACTACCAAACTAGCATGTCATCATCGCGTCGCCGCCCCCCCCCCCTCCCAGGGAGGGGGAAGGGGGAGCCCCAGACCCTCATGACTGCGATCCAACCGGCAGTTTTTGGCTGATTTGATATTGGCAGGTCAGGTGCCTCTGGCTCCTACTTTGGTTTGTTTCTGTGCTTTGTGGTGTGGTCTGTCTCTACAGGTGGTGTGTGAGCCAGGAGTAATATTCTATGGTATTCGGGCTGCAGGTGCCTAGGGTTTCCTTCCGTAGGTGCCCTGTAAATACTGTCCTTGGGGCTTGGGGCCACCTTCCACAAGTCACCTTGGGATTTACCTCCGCTATGTCTTTTAATGCTCAGTATTTGGCCACCCTTGGAGTCAACTGGGGTTTTGTTGCCCTCGTTTGCCTGTGGGTAGGAGGTAGTTTTCATCACTAGTACTGTAATTTTCGTAGGGTACTGTACAGCTAGTTCTCACCTCTTATAGCAGCTGGCTCTGTTCCGCCTGGGTACGTTGACCTCGTGTGGGGTTTTCCTTTTGTTATCCTGCCTGGTAGGGGGGTCTGCCCTTGATTGGTTGCCTCCTATCTATCTTTGGGGTCTTTCGACAGACAATTCTGTGTTCTTGGTGGTACCTCTTGCTAGACCCTGTGAGTGGACATGTCCCGGGGGGTTCAGCTTTTAGAAGTTTGCTTGGTAGTTTTGGGCGCCGGTTTGCAGTACCCTGCCTAGGCTTCCTTTAACGTGTTACCAAGGCTTAGGGCCCTGGGAAACCCTGTGGGGGCTCCGTGGTCCGATGGATGTGACTTTCAAGTCCCCCCTCTCGCTTTGTGTGAGGTTGATGGTTGCTCTGTCCCCTTGTCTCAGAGTGACATTCACCGGTTGTGCCTCTGCCATGCTGCCTGTTGGGTCGGTGGTTCTTTTGACCCCGAGTCATGCGACGTTGTTTTTGGTGTGTGCTCCAGTTCACCCTCGCTACTGATCTTGATCTGAGGGGGGCAAGCAGTAGCTGTGTTATGTGCTAGGTTCTTTTGCTGCAATGCGATGGGTTGGTTGCTTCCCCAGATGACCCAAGACTGCCCTGTTTTGGTTTTAGGGACCCGGACTAGGGGGTGGGAGTCGCTTCGCCTTGGTACCTTCCACCTTTCCTTTCTCTTCTGTTGTGCATCCGGTCATAACCTCAAGATAACCTCTCCCTGGCTCCCGGCTCCGACCCATCGGTGGGTTTGGAGGTGGGGCAGGGTCTAGTTGATGTTGAGACTTGGGAGGTTTCGCGGGAGTCCCCTTCCGGGGTGGCGGCAGAGGCATTCAAGCCAGTTCCTCCTGCTGATGCGTATGGGTCTTTCCAGTGCCCCCCCCTTCGTTGGTGTTTTTTGGCTGCTCCGGCTTTTTCTTGCGAGGCTGGGGTTTTTGGGGGATGGCTCGGCTCTGGGTCCTCGGCGTGAGGTTCCCGGGGAGGGGTTGACTTGGGGCCTTGGGCCCCGATGGATCCCATCTGGGTTTCTGTACCCTCGGAGCGGGGCTTGGAGTTACACGGAGAGGGGTTCTCTTTTGCTTCCTCCTCGTACAAATTGGATTTGGCATCTACTCCCCGGGTTCGGTTCAGTGTTCCCGTGGGTTCTTCAGTCCGTCCTTCTAGAGGTTCGGAGGTTTTCGGCTTCCCGCGTCCCTTCTCATGGAGGTGCAGCTAACCCTTGTGCCTTACCTCCTGCACAACCTAGGTTGTGCTTTCATGATGGATCCACGTGCCTTCGTGTCTGGATCTTTGTGTCCGTACTGGGTTCGTTATGAAGTTCCGGAGTCGTCCTGGTTAGCAGACAGCCAGCTCTTCTTGTTGGAGGCTTGGCACTCGTTCTGTCGGTCCTGCGCGCCTGAGTGTCTTGGGGGCCGACTTTGAGCATCTACATGCTTGTTTGTTTGAACCTGCCTTCCGCCGGATGTTGGTGTGATGCAGCTTCATGGGTTGGTCCCTTCCCTTTAGGCTGCCTTGGTCGCAAGTGAATTCTGTACATGTGGCCTGCTGGCTTCGGCTCTGCGTTTCTTCTCCCTCCTCGAGCTGTCCTCAGTTAGGCTTGCATTGGGTGTAGAGGCGCTTGGGACTGTCTCTGGGTCTAGTGTGTTGCCCTAAGTGGTCTGCATTGTTGTAACTGTTCGTGCCGCTTCTGTGAGATGTGGTTTCGCGGTTTTTGCTTCTCGCTTCGTATGTTGGCAGGCAGTGCTTGCTTCTTCCTTGGAATCTGCTTGGAGCCCTGGTTCTTAGGTTGTCTTCCCCTTTTTTGTCCGTTGCTGTTTGTGGAGTCTGCGGTTGTGCAATCTCTACAGGCGGCTTCAGCTAGTTGTTGGACTTGTTGGTCCTCCAGAAGGCTCATAGGGGGCTTTCTCAGATGGGTCGTGCCAGGGCACGACCAATCACCTTTCTCAGATGGGTCGATGACACTAGGATCTTCATGAGAGTAGGCAACATAGAGGACACGGCGAACCTCCAGTCAGATGTAGATCAGGTCTTTCTATGGGCTACAGAAAATAATATGGTGTTTAACGAAGATAAGTTCCAGCTCATGCGCTGTGGAAAAAATGAAAATATAAAAACGGAAACCACGTACAAAACTCAGGCAAATCATAACATAGAACGAAAAGGCAATGTAAAGGATCTGGGTGTACTCATGTTGGAAGACCTTACCTTTAAAGAACACAATAAAGTAGCCGTCACAACTGCAAGAAAAATGACAGGTTGGATAACAAGAACTTTTCACACTAGAGATGCTATACCGATGATGATACTTTTCAAAACGCTTGTGCTCTCTAGAGTGGAGTACTGTTGCACAATGACAGCACCTTTCAAAGCTGGAGAAATTACTGAACTGGAGAGCGTGCAGAGATCCTTTACTGCTAGAATCCACTCAGTAAAACATCTAAACTACTGGGACCGACTAAAGAGCCTAAAACTGTACTCCCTTGAGCGCAGGCGGGAGAGGTACATAATAATTTACACGTGGAAAATATTAGAGGGGCTGGTCCCAAACCTGCACACAGAAATAACATCACATGAGACCAGAAGACATGGCAGGATGTGCAGAATACCCCCGTTGAAAAACAGAGGTGCAACTAGTACCCTGAGAGAGAACTCTATCAACATCAGAGGTCCGAGACTGTTCAACACGCTTCCACTACACATAAGGGGCATAACTGGCCGACCCCTCACAGTGTTAAGAGAGAACTGGATAAGCACCTCCAAAGGATACCTGATCAACCAGGCTGTGACTCGTACGTCAGGCTGCTCGCAGCCGCGTCCAACAGCCTGGTTGATCAGTCCGGCAACCAGGAGACCTGGTCGACGACCGGGCCGCGGGGACGCTAAGCCCCGGAAGCACCTCAAGGTAACCTCAAGGTAGGGCTCAGGGTTCTTCCCGTCGTGGTAGGCAGGTGGTGCTAGATTCGGGGCTAGAGCAGCCTTCGGTTCCGTCTTTTCTGGTCAGCGCGGATATCACCCTTTGCGCCGCTTCGGTTCTCATCTGGTACGTCGGCCCTTTCGCAGTTCGTCCCATTGACAGGGCAATGGGGGAAGATGCTCATTCTGTTTCCTCGCACCTGGCCACGTGATTATAGGCACTTCAGGTCGTTTTGTGCAGCCTGTAGTGGCGTTGGGTGGCTCCTCCTTCGGGGTGTTCAGGACTGGTGGGGCAGGCCTCTTCTCGTGCAATCTGTCGAGTTGTCTTGGCATGGGTTCGCTTGGGCATGGTCACGTCGACCTTGTCTCTCAGGTAGGTTCCTGCCTGTTTGCGGTCCCGGAACGGGACTGCGCCGAGCTCTGGTTCATTCTGGACTTGTCCCATCTGCACCTGTGGGTTTATTGCCTCTCCTTTGGATGGCTCCTCAGCCCCAGGTTCGTCTTTGTTGGAGCCGGGAGCTTGGATGGTGTCCCTGGGCCTTGTGGATGCGTATTGGCATGTCCCGATTCATCCAAGGTTCAGGGACTGGCTCGGTTTTGTTGTGGGGCTTCTAGGTTCCTGCTTTCGTTGCCTTCCATTCAGCTTGGTTCTGGCACCTTGCGTTCTCACATACCTTATTTGGGTCGTGGTGGTTGCATCTGTTAGGTGTTCGGCTTCTGGCCTTCCTCGATGACTGGCTGGTATGGGCTTCCAGCTGGTCTGCGTGTCTGCTCGTCAGGGATTGGTTCTTCCCAGCTCACCAGGTTCCTGGTGCCCTAGCGGACGTCCCATCTGGTTCCCTATCAGGTTCAGTCTTGGCTGGGTCTTGTGTGGGATGCTCGAACCGCTTCCCTCTCTCTTCCTCTGGTGGCTCTGCTATGCCTGCGTTCCAGCCTTCGTCTGCTCCTCAGGGGCTCCTGGGTCACGCGGCAGTTGCTCAAGGGTTGTGCGGGGGCCTGAATTTTGCCATGATGGTCTACTCGCCGGGTCGGGTGTGGTTTCGTCGGCTGTTCTGTTTCCTTCAGGGACGTCTCGTCCACCTTTCTTGCGACTGCTGGGTTCGGTCTTCAGGGGCTCTGTGTCGGTTGCTGTGTCGCCAGCTTCCTCTGGGTTTTTTCGGGGTTCAGTGCCTTGGCGCTGACACTCTGTGTTCGCGTCAAGGCAGTTGCTCAAGGGTTGTGCGGGGGCCTGAATTTTGCCATGATGGTCTACTCGCCGGGTCGGGTGTGGTTTCGTCGGCTGTTCTGTTTCCTTCAGGGACGTCTCGTCCACCTTTCTTGCGACTGCTGGGTTCGGTCTTCAGGGGCTTTGTGTCGGTTGCTGTGTCGCCAGCTTCCTCTGGGTTTTTTCGGGGTTCAGTGCCTTGGCGCTGACACTCTGTGTTCACTGACGCGTTGTCTCTTGGCTGGGGCTTTGTGACCGGTGCTCACTAGGCCGGCCAGGGACAGTGAGGTCAGTCCTCCCGTTGGGCTCACAGTACAGTGCGGGTGTTTGCGGCTGTGTGGATGTCGCTCCAGGGGATTCGCGTCACTCGCAGATAAACGATCTGGTTCCATTCGGACTGTTCCCCGGTGGTTCTTTGCCTGAATCGAGGGGGTTCCATGTGATCCTTCACTCTTTGGGGCTGGTCGCTTCAGGTGACTCATCTGCTGTGTTCTCGGGGTTGGCTCTCCTGGAAGTTCACGTTCGGGGGGTGACGCTCCTTGGTGCCCGGCCCAGCCTTGGTTTTAGGCGCTGCTTGCTTGGTGTCCGAGCCCAAGCGAGTTCCTGCGGCCTTGCCTCTTTCTGCAGATCGGTCCAGCTCGGTACGATGCCGGTTCGTTCGTTCTCCTCGAGTCTTTGCGCCTGGGGTTTCTGTCTAGAGTCTATCCTCACTTGTATGGGGTGCAGGTGGCTTCATTGTTGGTCTCCCACCTGCATGCTTCATCTCAGCGGCGGTCTGCAGTTCCTGGCGGTCCTTCTGGTTCCTATCACTGCGTAGGTATATTTCGGTTTCTGATAGGGTTATCTTGTTCTTCCTCTCGTGGTTGTTCCAGACCTGTCATCTTATGCCGGATACTGTCGCCTTGTATTGTGCGGTGCTGGTGGAGTCGCTCCAGCTTGCGTTCGGTGTTACTTTTGCCCCAGTCAGCAAGCTGTCTCGTGCGTTTTCACCTCCAATCTGGTCGTTGGACTGGGTGCGCTTTTTTCTCTCTCCTCCTCGGTTTGTCGTAACATAAAACGAACAAACCTACCATTGTTTCAGGTTTGTTCGTTTACAGCAGTCTCCTTCTTTTCTGGCGATGAATGGGTCTGCTGTTTTCCAGAGGGAGCCTTGGGTTGTTGATGCTTGGTTGGTTGGGCCGGGGATGCATCATGTGTTGTTTTCTGTTGCGGCTTTCTGCTGTTCTCGGTGCATCTTGGCCTCTGTGGCTATGGGCACACTTTGGATTTCCCGGGTCCCCTTCCTTCCTTCCTTCCTGTTCCGGGGTTCGGGTCTACTGGGTCGTCTGCAGGGTCCTTTGATTTGGCCAGTTGTCCTGTTTTTGAGTTAGGGCATGTGGTGTCCGCCTCCCGTGTCCTTGCTTCTTTTCCTTATCTTTGGTGAGGTAGCTCCGTGGAGCCGACGGGGCTCCCCTCGGAAAATCAGTGTTGAATGTAATGAAACATCATTTTCTGGGTGAGACCCGGAGGCTCCCTGGCATCCCTCTTTCCCTCTGGTCGGTGGTGTTTTCGCATGTTTTTTACATCCTGCCTAAGAACTGCTGATTCGATCGCCGGCACAAGGGTCTGGGGCTCCCCCTTCCCCCCTCCTGGGAAGGGGGGGGGTAGCGCAGACGGTGGCGCGGAGACGTGATGACGTCAGGCTAGTTTGCTAGTTTTTATTTGGGGAGTTCTGTCCACTTGTTCGGCTTTTGGTAGCAATATTTACACCAGAATAGGGGTTTGTTTGGGGCGCCTACCTTTCTGGGTGCCCAGACTCGGTCGATGGCAGACATAGAATGCTTCCAACCACACGGGGGTTTCTTTAGGCCATTGCTCCTCGTGCCTCTCTGAGGGGGCCAAGTTCTGGCTCGTGGTCCCTGGATGGCAAGAACTCCACTTTGACTGATGCCAGAAAGCTAATAGTTACATATCAGCTTGGATAGCTCCGGGAAGCCTCCAGGTCTCCCCCAGAAAATGGCATTTCATTACATTCAATGCTGGGTTTTTTAATTGGTTTTATTGAAGAGGGAATGCACTCATTATTTTTTCTGTATTTTTTATGCTTTGTACCAAGATACAGTAAATAAAAAACTAAAACCACACATTAGAAGGTGGAAAAGTCTGAAAATAAAGTATTGTTACATCTGAAACTGTTCCAGGGTGAAGATCCAGGGTGAACACAATTGCTGTGACCTTAACCATTTCTAATGTGGGGCTTGATGTTTATCGCTTCCTGGCATGTTATTTTCATTTTTATTCTCTACTGTTAATAATTTTTATTTTTTTATTTTTTTTTTAGACTGAACTATTACAAGTTGATTTAAGTGAGGATGGAACACAGTTCATTATTGGTCCTGGTAGCTATGGGGAAGTTATGTCCAGAACGTCTTCATTAGCTGGGGATGAAGAAAGAAATGGTGATAGAGAACAAAAAAAGCCATTTGTTTGTCCCCTCTGTGGCCAGTCCTTCACACGACGTGATAACCTTGCCAATCATATCAAGGTAAGACTCAAATTAAGTTGTCATTTGTGTACCCATTTCATTAATCTTTGTTCAGTTACTGTAGGTTCCCTAAGCCTTGACACTAGATCAGTCAGTGTGAGGCTCCTGCAGAAAGGGAAGCTGGAGTGTTTACGCCTTCATGAATGTTTATGGACTTCAAGCAACCAGGGAAATAAAACATTTCTAAAGGCTATTGAGATTTCAGGACAACAGAATTGACCAATGAATCTTGATTTTAAGAATAATTTTCATATGAAATATGACATAAAAGAAAATTAAGAATAGAGGTATGTCATGAAGTATGTGTGTCTAAATAGGACATGGAGGAAGGCAGGCTAAATTAGGGAAGAAAAGCATGTAAATAATGCAAAGGAAACCTGGCTGGCACATGCAGTTCACAAGAACCTATAAGCCAGGCAACAGAGAATACAACACAGACAAAATAGTAGGTCAGCTTAGCCTGTCAAGGCATCCATTTAAAGGAGCATGCATGAGTGACAAGCTCAGCATGCACCCTTTCCTTCCTCAGATTTGTGCTTGGAAAACCAGAATCACTACGCACCAGGCAAAACCAAGATATCCCAGTTGTGTTAACACTTTCGCGCTTTCGATTAGAGATAACTCGTCACTGGTTTTTCTTACGATTCCGCACAACTGCCTACTTTTCTCGTCAATCGAAAAAATATTTCTATAAATTCCATTTTTTAACCGAAATGGATGGGGATACTTTTGTTTTGTAGAGAATTTATTTGCGAATTTTTTGGTACCAGAATGAATATTATATCACATAAACTTCTATGAGTAAAAAAAAAAATACACAGAGTATGTTTGGGGGTGTGGCGAGCGTGTGGCAGTGGGTTCCCTTTAGCCGTTGATATATCCAACACGTGGGAAATATTTGTATGTGTTATGTATATGTCTGTGTAGGGAATTTTACTGCGATCACTGTCATACAAATTATAAAATGTTTCAACAAGTATAAACATGACAAACATCAAACGAACGAAAACAATGCGTTCGTTTCTGCCGCGAACGCATACTGAGCGACGTGGTTCTATATTTGGCGCTTCTCTTACACATGCTTTGTACAAATGTTATACAGTTCATCTTATAGAAAATTTTATTGCGAACACATTGGTATAAAAAAGAAATACGTACATAGAAAAGTAGGGTCAGGAAACGTATACATGTATAAACTTTCCAAGCATGATTGTGTTTTCGCCAGTGCGCTCGCGGCTAACTACTCTCCACTTCACACACTCTTGCGGGTGGGCAATTACCTATATTAAACATTCATATGCATATGTCCGTGTAGAGAATTTTATTGCGATTCCAATGATACCAAAATTAGCGATGTAGGACAACTGTAGGCTTCGCAACCATTAAGAGAGTGGAAACATTTTGTTGCTGTTTGGCGCTCTCGGCGAGTGATCTGCATAGTTTTTTATTTGGTGTTGATACTCCTTATGCTTGGGCGGCATTTTATAGGTATGCTCTTATAGACAATTTCATTGCGAACACAGTGATACCAAATTTAAATACGTGCGCCTTCAATTATTGTCAGGACAGTCAAAAGAGTGTACACTTTTTCGGTCTTACCGCATAGGCGCGCGAAGTGCCGAAAGCATCTGGGGTATTTTTTTTTTTTGAGCGCCGAGAGCGCGAAAGTGTTAAGAAGCACTACATTTATTTAGAAAAATGTAAGATAGTTACAATTAAATGGGTAGAATTACAAGCAAGGGTGGCAGGTAAATCCCCATCAATTACTGCAACAACAAACTGGTGTAGTATGTGACAGGATGTGATCTTGCAAGGAATATAGCAATTAATAAAGAGAAGGTGAAGAAGGATGGAGGGAGTGCAAGCACTACTGATATACCTGCACTGGAGCACTCACTTAAACCAATCCCCCCTCACCAAACACCACAAGGCCTAGGCAAGCATTGGCACAAAGGAAATGAGGCATACATGCCATGCATGCAATGGAAAAAAGCAACTAGTGGTAAGGGGACCAATTCCAAGATGTACACGACGGTACCTTTAAGGGTCAGGTAGATATGTCTCCCAGTTGTTTGTCCAAACAATGTCTGATACCTTAGCTAGTATTTTAATTTATCTACATAGTTAGGAAGAAGCATTCTTGCTTTTTAAGAAAATTACAAAAAGTGTGGCTTGTATTGTAGCAGGTAATGCCATAGGAACCAGGTATACCTCCTTGTGTTGGCTAAAATCATCTAGTTGATATATTAGTACAGTACCATGTTAGCCTTTTTGCCAACTGCTATTAGTTTTAAATATGTGGTTCACATTCAGCGTACATCATACATGAGTACTCGCCTAGGTGTTCTCAGTGCTGGAACATATCATTCATAGTCCTGAGGGGCAATGAGGTTACTGTTTGATTTTATTTACATTGATCCCCTGAATACTGGTAAAGAATACATTAATCCCCTGAATACTGGTGAAGAACACATTAATCCCCTGAATACTGGTAAAGAATTGCTTGTAATCTCTCAACTTTACCCACCATGTAAAATGCTCAACTTCATCAATAGACCTTGCTTTCTTGCTAGTTTTTCACCCTATACTTTCCTTATCTCAGTCTCACAAAATAATAAACTTATCTCTTTTCTTTTTCTTATACCAGACTCACACCGGTGACCGTCCGTTTATGTGCCAATATTGCCACAAGTGCTTCTCGAGGAAAGACTACCTGAAGCAGCACGAACGTATTCACACGGGGGAGAAACCCTATGCCTGTGACATATGTGGTCGTGCATTTACCCGTAAGGAAGGTCTGACAGACCACATGCGGTGCCATTCAGACTTCAAAGCCTTTTCTTGTGAAACCTGTGGTAAGAGCTTCAAGCAGAAATGTGGCTTGCGGTTCCATAAAAGGAACTATAAACATTAGCCGCTCTTAAGTGTTCTGCCATATTAGTGACATGTTGAGAGATCTTTGGCAAACATGTTCTACTACTACTTTGATGTCGTTCATTTTTTAGTCAGTTTCTTCGAATAAAACAAAGTTTTAATACTTGTCAAAATTGATTGGGTAAGTGAGTCAGAAATGGTGAGAGCCGATGCATTAGCTCTGTACAGATGTGTGGTTTGATATCATATATATATTGATGACTAGTGGCATGCAATATGTTCACTCAGACATAATACATTCTATTAATTTATAATTTATACTTTTTATTATGATTAATTATAAAAGATAACATTGACATAAATCATTTAAAGTGTTAGTTTGACTTAATGAAGCCAGTATTCTGGTATTCACTCTTGAGACCAACTTGTTTAATATTTTGTCATTTGGTGTTTACATACCCTCAGTTGACCTGGTTAGTTGCCGCCTCACTTTTAATTGAAGACTGTCCACGTCACACTAATTATTATTCGTCATATACAATACCTAAGAGGTTTTTGTTAAATATTAATTATTTAAATATTAAATTTTTTTAAGTAATGCTCACAGTTCTTTTTATCTCTGTTGCACTTAACATTCAAAATGATGAAATAATTTTGTGAGGTTTCTCCTAGAAGCCATTCTTCTGTATTTAAACCTTATAGTCTACCTGTATGTAAACCTATAATTAGCTATCAATTTTAATTATTCCGACATTAAAATATATTTGCATTTTAATTTGGTTGGGATGTTGCCTCGTCTCCTCAACCGGACTTTGAAGAGGGTCTTATTTTTTAAGAATTGTTTATATGCTTCATCTGATCTCAAATGCATGCATCCAGTGTGAAATTACTTGGTGTTTTGAACTGTGAAAGCACAAGTCAGTAATGTAAGGCAGCATTAATATGCATTGTTTAACATTTCAAGAGTAGTCTCAAAGTGTGCTTAGTCACAGTTTTGAGCTGGATGTATTTGTGTAAGCACTGTATTATATTTTATTTTTCTTGTATAAATTTTTGTACCATATTAATACCTTGCATACATGCCTATGTTTCCAAGTAAATCCATATGTATATGGCCCTCAGCATAAGGGATTCATTTTTGAAACCTCCACAAATAGAGCAAAATTTAACTTTATATGGTTACTGTGCGGTGATTCTGGGGGGTCAAGGTCCCCAGTGCCCGGCCTCTGACCAGGCCGTGGTCACAATTTAACACGGTGAAAATAGTTCTGTTCCAGGAACCCGAAAAAGTTCACTTTCTGAGCTTGGCTCGTCCCTTTGGCAAGGTCATGCTGTTCCTTATGAACAGGACTACACATTGTCTGGCCAAGTTGACATTCCACACTGGCACTACTGAAATTACCTCCAGAAGGCTTATTCGACTACACCTGAAGCTCTTCCAAGCATAACCTGACGGCATTAAAGAAACCACCAAGGAATGGTCTGCCAGCCACTTTTGCCCAACCACTACTAGTGGCAACATCCACAGGGTACCCTTACCCCTGCACATTCCTCCTGACTGTTTCTGAAAGCACTTCAGTCTGACGGTCCAAACGTTCAGTTAAGTAACTTGTGTTCTACCCTTAGAAACATGTTTTGTTGGGGTCTGGGCTGTTAATATGTGGTATTAATGGATGGTTCTCATGTGTGGGTTAGCAGTTATTTCTTCTGTTCAAAGTTCTGCTCTTCAGGTGCCCCAATTAATATTTGTCTTTCCCATGTGCAAGAACCTACTTGGGCTCTCAATTTCTTTAATTTTATATATGTCGTACCTAATAGCCAGAACGCACTTCTCAGCCTACTATTCAAGGCCCGATTTGCCTAATAAGCCAAGTTTTCATGAATTAATGTTTTTTCGTCTACCTAACCTACCTAACCTAACCTAACCTAGCTTTTTTTGGCTACCTAACCTAACCTTACCTATAAATATAGGTTAGGTTAGGTTAGGTAGGGTTGGTTAGGTTCGGTCATATATCTACGTTAATTTTAACTCCAATAAAAAAAAATTGACCTCATACATAGAGAAAAGGGTTGCTTTATCATTTCCTAAGAAAAAAATTATAGTAAATATATTAATTCAGGAAAACTTGGCTTATTAGGCAAATCGGGCCTTGAATAGTAGGCTGAGAAGTGAGTTCTGGCTACTAGGTACGACAGAATGCGTATTTAACTCTGTTAACGTAGCTTTACTATTTTTCATTCAATTTCATTTTTTATAAGGTGCGGTGTATTGTGCATTACGAGAGTAACATATAGTGAAGGTGAGACAACTTTGGATTACGTGGTGACTGTAGGCCTCAGTCATACTCTTAATTGGTCATCTCTCCCTCCATGTTATTACTCGTATTTACCATCTATGTCCCTTGAATATTTCTCATTCTGACAGATCATCATATTGGTACCCTGGTACTGTGGTCTGCCCCGGGTCAAGAGTACCCAATCTTCTGCAATCTGACTGTAGGAGGACAAAGAGGGCCATAGTTCCTCTAGCTCGAACTTTAGTTGCTGAATTGGGACCTCAGCAGCAGTTCTCGTCACCAGTTGACACCTCGCACCCCTACACGTCAGTCAGAGATGATGATACATACAACGGTAGGGAATTAGCTTATTTTTTCAGAGCACAAAAATTCGCTAATTCTGTAAGTATCATATTAAATTCAGTAGGAAAAACTTGCTTTATGTCCTATAGAGACTTGGCAAGGTATGCCTACATCCTTGGACTACCAATTTTACTTTTGAAGCATTTAACTGTTTCATTTGTTTTCGAAACTCTGTTTCATTTGTTAGTAGGATTTTCTTGCCCTTATTCTCTTACATGAGTACCGGGTACAAGATTTCCTGCGCCCTTGATTTAATTTAATCATTTAATATCTTTCACTTAACGTTAATTGTTAAAGATCACACAGGATAGGTACCAGTTGCCACGTTGTCCTGTTTCTGACATTTCATTATTGAACATTCGTGTACCTTTATTTGCTAATTTCACCATGTTTCGTCTCCAAACTTTCCGTGCAAATCCAGCAGGTGAAATAGGGACTTTGAGTCGTGCCAAGAGGACTGAACTACAAACTCTTGCACATGAGTATCAACTAGAAGTTCCCTACCAAGCCAACAAAAATGACCTACACAACCTGTTGCTGGATTACTATTTAGAGCAAGGTAAGATAGACTCTGAAACTCATGAAACTTACTATATTGCAGATAAAACTGACTTGGCAACGATGAAACTTAAACTAGAGCTGGCTAAGATTGAACGTGAGCAGCAAAAGGAAGCCCGCGAACAGCAAAGGGAAGCCCTCGAACAACAAGAACGAGCAGCTGCCATACGAAGAGAAGAACAAGAACGAGAAATCACCCTCCGAGAACGTGAAGCTGCCTTGAGGAGAGAAGAACACGAACGTGGACTCGCCCTCCAGGAACGTGAGGTTGCACTACTCCAGGAGCGGGAACGAGTACAGCTTGAAACACTCCAGGAGCGGGAACGAGTACAGCTTGAAACCAACGACGCGAGTTGGAGATGCAACGCGAACATGACAAGCAACAAGCAACTCTGGCTCTAGAGTGTCGTCAACGCGAAATCTCCTTGGAAACTTCACACTTCACTCAACGCCAGCAAGCTACTGCAAATCTTCCCGTCAGTTTTAATATATCACATGCAAGTAAGTTAATGCCATCCTTTGTAGAAGCAGAAGTTGATGTGTTTTTCACCACCTTTGAAACCCTTGCTAATCAACTCAGTTGGCCTGTCGACCAATGGGCCACACTTCTCAGAGTCCATCTTACAGGTAGAGCTGCAGTCACACTCAGTACTTTGGCGTCTGAGAATGACTACTACACTCTGAAACAAGCAGTGTTGGACGCCTACCTACTTTCCACCGAAAGTTATAGAAGGAAATTCCGTGACCACCTGAAGGCAAGTACCACTACCTTCCTCGAGTTTGCTAACACGAAACGGAGGTATTTCATGAAATGGCTGGAAGCAGCACATGTCTCTACTTTTACAGAACTCGTCAACCTGATGCTTGTTGAAGAATTCTTGAGACGTGTGCCGCCTCCTGTCCGCCTCTACTTAGCAGATAAAGAAGAAACCGACTACCTGAAGTGTGCTAAGTCGGCTGACACTTACAGCCTCATCCACCGGCTGACACCTGAACCATCCTCCAGTAAGAAGTCGTGGTACAGTTACGAGAAGGTGAGCCCCGATCAAGCTGGTTCACAACTGTACTGCAAGTATTGTAGACTCTATGGACATACCATAGACAAGTGTGGTAAGTCTCAATACAAGGGAACCACTGACCAACAACGACCCAAACCAACTCCTCCTAAGTCCGGTAAGCCTGTGATGAATGTTGGTGTTGATGTTAATGATCTTTCTCTTTTCAGTAACCACCTGTATACTGGAACTGTCTCTGCCAACGGTTCAAATCCGGAGGGACGTTTCAAATTGAAGATCTTGAGGGACACAGCGGCTCTACAATCGATCATCTTGAAGTCGGCTGTGCCCAACATAGTCTACACCGGGGAAACGGTCTTCATCACTGACCTCACTGCTACTACTCCATACCCTCTCGCCAGAGTCCACCTGGATTGTCCCTACGTGAACGGGGAAGTCCAAGTCGCCGTCAGGGAAAAGCCTTTTCCCATGCCTGGAGTGCAACTTCTCCTAGGCAACGACTTGGCAGAAGACCTGCAACCGACCAACCTGATCGTCATGGACAAACCCCAGGTGTGTAACTCTGTGCCAATAAATCCTATTCTAGAGTATGTTCCAGCAGAGGTTCAAGAGAGTGATGAAGTTTCTCCTCCGGTTCTCGTGACCACCCGTGCACAAGCCGCACGTCCACAGCCAGCTGACTCTACTGCCACCGCTGTCCCTCAAGACCCTCAGAAACTACCCCCGCATCTGACCAAGTTGGAGTTCCGTAAGTTGCAGAGGGAAGATCTTACTTTAACACCATTGTTTTTCCAGGCTGAGACTCAACCCGACAGTATTCCTGGGTTCTTCCTAGAGAACGACTTGCTCTACCGCAGATATAGACCCAGTAAACTGAAGGAGGAGGACGATTGGGCCAACACCGAACAACTTGTGATTCCCACCAGCCTGCGGCCCACTATTCTACACCTGGCCCATGGAGCATTCTCCCACTACGGCTTCAACAAGACTTACCATGGGATTCGCCAAGACTACTACTGGCCAGGTATGGTAAATAACGTCAAACAGTACGTAAAACAGTGTCATACATGTCAGATGGCAGGCAAACCGAACGTCTCCATTCCCAGAGCACCACTGATTCCCATACAGGTGCCTGCGGAACCTTTCCACAGACTCATAATAGACTGTGTTGGTCCTTTACCTCGGACCAGTTCAGGTAACGCCTACATCCTAACCATCCTGTGTCCTACCACCAGATTTCCCATAGCAGTTCCAGTGAAGAACATCACGGCTGCTACGGTTATCAAACATCTACTGAAGATCTTCACTCAATACGGATTTCCCAGGGAGATTCAAAGTGACTGTGGCACCAACTTCACCAGTGATCTCTTCAAAAGAACACTGGAGGAGTTCAACATCAAACAGGTATTGTCCAGCCCCTATCATCCTGCTTCACAGGGTTCTCTTGAACGTAGTCATCAGACCATCAAAGCACTCTTGAAAAAGTTTTGTAGTGAAACCTCAAAGGATTGGGATAAGCAGATTGACCTAATAATGTGTATTTTCAGAAGTCTCCCCAATGAGTCCCTAGGAGTATCTCCTTATGAGATGCTCTACGGCCGTAAGTGCCGTACTCCCCTTAAGGCTTTCAAAGACTCTCTCAGAGATGCCACCTTCAGTGAGCATCAGAATGTGCCCCAGTTTCTTCAAAACCTTCAACACATTCTAGAGAGAGTCCACCGCTTTGCTCATGATAATCTATTGAAAGCCCAGGTGAGAATGAAGACTCATTACGACCAGACCAGCAAAGTAAGAAAATTCAAGCCGGGAGACTTCGTCCTTGCTTATTTCCCTATCCCAGGTTCACCTTTACAAAACAGATTTTCAGGACCCTACTGCGTCAAAGAGTGCAGGAATAATAATAATTATGTG